ATCGCCTAGACCGCAGTTGAAAGAAGTTGTGCTAACTCTAAACCTAAAAATAGCTCTTGATCCGTCCCAAACTATCGCTTGCACAAGATGGCAACTATAGAGAGATGCGATGTATGTGTTGCCTTGACTCCCTTTTTCAGACAGCTTCAAGCCCTCCCAATCCCAGTTACTGACATTGCTTGCTAATTTCTCAACCACAACAGACTTCACGCCTTGGAAGGGCGTTAGAGTCGTCGAGAAGCACACCCATCTCCCCCAATGTATCCAAAATCTCACTGGGCAGGACGAATGTCCAATTGGTGATGCAGGTACGTAACAGGGGCGGGCTTTCTTCCACTATCTTTGCTTCAGCTTTCCCCTACTTAATCTCGTACGCTCAGGTATCTCTGCAATGAACTTCTTATTCTATCTCTTCTTGAAACAATCTTAAATGACTAATTACTAATTGGTATAAACAGTCATCTCTACACTCGACACCTGTTTTGGTGCTGAGACGTGTGAAGAAATGGTTCGTATCAGGGAGCTCCCTCAACCCCCCGTCCTTCCGAAACATTAATAGAAAAGCTAACTCCCCCGTTATAAATAGTTCACTCGTTCGTATTTTCCATACCTTTCTTTCATGCAGCACATGTTTGAGGTAGCTCTAAGGCGGCAAACAGCACCTCAATTATTCCTTTTCCAGCTCGCTACACTTGAAACCTTCCTAAGAGATAGTACTAACATCGAGATCTCGAACAGCTCAATCTCCGCATATTTCTCTCTCTCTGGATGGAGTAGAGATACTTACTAATTCAGTATGTCTACTTCTTTTTCGAGTATTGCTTCACGTTAATTGAATGCCTTAATTTTCTCATATCTACTCAAACTTGAGACACTCAATTTCTACCCTATCAGGCAATGCTGACTCTGAAAAACACAGTCTGGATCACATCATGAGCTGCGTAAACTCGACACCCGGATCGATCTTATTAGATCAGCTACAGCCAAATGGTCCGTGAACCCCTCCCCACTCCCCCCAAAAAAACCCAAACCCCACATACACAAACATCCTACGCTACATAGAAGTGCATATTTATTTGAGGTGGCTCAAGGAGCGCACTACAGCACTGGAAATTTCAAATACGCCTCCCGACATATCCCAACTCCTTTCAAGGTTCGAGGTTCGAGAAGGTGATACTAACACTCTCTTCCCAAATAGCGGCGGTATCTACCTTTATGGTAAGTAAAGTGGCTTCCCTGTTTCTTATTATCTCCTGCACTCTCTAATCCTACGACATCGTCTTGTCTTCTCTAGAAGCATTTTAAGAACTATATTTGCTAACTACGAGCAGCTAATCAGCGTGGATGTGAGTCAAATTCTCAGAGAGCATTATCCCTCCCGGAATGTCTTAGGAGTCGAACAACACCCACAGTTCCCGATAATCTCTAAAAGAGGCATACTAACTCGACGTTTCTCAGGCGATGGTGATCGGCTGTACTACGATGGATGCAGCATGATCATCGTGAATGGGAAGATTGTGGCCCAGGCGTCTCAGTCAGTCCTACCTGAGACAATGTCCAACTGGAAATTCTGACTCTTAACTATCTAGGTTTTCTCTCAAAGATGTTGAAGTTATCACGGCCGGTAAGCCTTATTCGTTGGTGTATTATTTCACGCTCTGGCAATCTTACGGATGTCTACTTCCTCGTATCTTAAGAGCGGACGACTCGCGTGGACCTGCAAAACTTCTAATTCCACCTGACTTGGCAATACTAACTCTCATAAAGTTGTGGATCTAGACGAAGTACGAAGCTACCGGCAGGCCAAATCACGAGCAATGCAAGCCCGAGAGGCGCTTAGTTATCAACGTATTGAGGTCAACTTCTCCTTGTCGACTCGCCGTGAGGAATTTGACTTTAGAATCTCTCCCTCTAAATCCTTTGAACCGCTCTACTATAAGGCAGAAGACGAAATTATGCTCGGTCCAGGTACGTGAGAAAGGATAATAACACTATCTCAGACTCCTGAGAAGATCCTCAAGAAACATGCATATCTCCCGAAGTCAACCCACCAGCCAATATTGATACTTTGCTAATTCCCCTGCTTTACATAGCTTGTTTCCTGTGGGATTTTTTACGTCGGTCCCGCCAGGCAGGGTTTTTCTTGCCCTTGTCTGGGGGGATTGATAGTTGTGCCACGGCTTGCATAGTCTTCTCTATGTGCAAGCTCGTCTATGATGAAATCCAAGAAGGCAACAACCAGGCACTCAGAGATCTGCTTCAGATAGTCGGCGAGGATTCTAGTAGCTCATGGAGACCTCAAACCCCGGAGGACATTGCTAGAAGACTCTTCGTTTCGGCTTACATGGGTATGGCAAAGAATAGCTCTTCGGATACTCGGAACCGAGCACGTGAGCTTGCTGGAAAAATTGGATCGTAAGCATCTACCAGCCCTCAAATCTAGGAGACTAAAGCCATGATTTTGGCACCACGAAATGTCCCATGATAGTCGTGCTAATAATGCATGGATACAGGTACCATCTGAACTTTGACATCGATACGGTCATCAATGCAATTCTAACGCTCTTTGCTACCGTGACCCGCGTTATGCCGAGATACAAGACAGATAGTGGCTCCGTGGTCCAGAACTTAGCTATACAGAATATCCAGGCAAGAGTGAGGATGGTTGTGAGTATTCTCAGCCAGAACATAACGGAATCACTTATTAACGGTACCAGCTTTCCTATTTGTTCGCCCAATTAGTACCGTCTGTCTGCTTTGGACGAACAATATCCGGGTCACTTCTCGTCCTCTCTTCTGCGAATGTTGATGAATCTTTGCGTGGGTACTTTACAAAGTATGATGTAAGCTTATCCTTGTCTTTGCTTCTTACTTCCCTTTGCACTTGGTATAGCCTCTTGCCTTCTCCCCGTATCCCCCCGTTCTCAAATTGTACCCTGATTGCCAAAGTTTCTGTGAAAGGGGAGAATCCGGATCTCGCTAACTTTCGTCTCCTTCACAATTTCTCTTCTCCTACCAAGACAACCTCAAAAAAGCACTGACTAACTCCCTTTTCCAGTGCAGCTCTGCAGATATAAATCCGATTGGATCAGTCTCAAAGAAAGTAGGTACCCAAAGGAGCAGCAAATTTGTGGGCTAAGCCCGGACATTAAAAAACATCATGGCATCCAAAGTTTAAAAGAACTGGGCTAACCCTCTAATAGGACCTCAAGCGTTTCATCATCCATGCAGCGGAGAAGTGGGACATGCCTTTGCTCATCGACTTTGTAACTGCACCTCCCACTGCAGAACTTGGTGGGTAACCGGGGAGCCGAATATTTCTCATTTTGGACTTTATCATGAGTTACTTTATGCATACTCCTGAGACGAGTGTCCTCTGCAAACTCCTGATATCCCTCAAAATAAAAGACTTGCTAACCTCCCGATGTTTGCAGAACCTATCACAGAAGACTATGTTCAAAGCGACGAGGTAGATATGGGCATGAGTTACGATGAACTCTCGGTGTAAGTTAAGTTTTCGCTGCAACCCGTCTTATTCATCTTCCCTATGCAGCGATTGCCTCTTTGAATCCAATTGTGGGCATAGATTGCAGTCTCGAATCCATATAATGCTTAAAGATGCTAACGCGAGACAGATTCGGCAGATTGAGGAAGGTGGAAAAATTAGGACCTTATGGCATGTTCGGTACGTAACGGGGCGTTTGTCTCCAGCCCTTCGGTACACCGGACTCAGATCTTTCTTCCTCTTCTACAACTCCTCCAAAGACATGTCGTTTAGGATCTTATCTCCGTATCTCCACGAATCACACCCAAAGAGGAAATTGTTAACTCTCCTGTTACCCACAGCCAAGCTTTTACACCTGTGGGGGGATGTGTTGTCTCCACACGAAATTGCAGACAAAGTGAAGAGATTCTTCTGGTTCTATTCGATCAATCGCCATAAGAGCAAGTACTTCTGCCCCAAGTTACTAGAGAAATAAGGGCTAATAATCTTAGTGACGACACTAACTCCGTCTGTGCATATGGAGGCATGTAAGTGACTCTTTTTATCCTCATAGTAATTATATGACCAAAAACTGCATATCCAAGTGCAAAACATCGGATTTATTCTTATGGAGAACTGGGCTAACCACGGGAAAGACTCTCCTGATGACAACCGTTTCGACCTTCGACCTTTCCTATACCCACCTTTTACCGCCGCGTACAAGAAGATAGAGGCTGCAGTCTCCGCTATGGGAGTTGCTGGATTGAGGCGCCCAGTTCCGGAGGAGAAGAAAGATGCTTAAGAAAAGGCATAAATCGCGTTTATAGAGTAGTATACGAGTCCTAATAGAACAATTACGCTCTTTCTAAAACTATGCATTTCTGTTAATCCTAGAAAACTGTTGGAAGTATACTACTATTAGCCTGGGTAAAAGCGTAAAGCTTGATAAACATAATATTAAGACTTTTCGACAAGAGTCGAACGCTTTCCACAATATCAATGTTGACGAAATCAAATAAGTCCGCCAGCTCTTCTTCCCGCCGCAAATTGATGAATATGTGACTAGGTTGTTAGTTGAAAAGCCGAGCTAACAGCTGCGCAACCCGGCCGACAGCCACGAGCATATTTCAATAAAATCTATTGAAGACTATGGTCGGGGTACTTTAGGCCTCGAGGGACGAAGTTTACCTCCAGCCGAACAGTTTCGCCCAGGAGGAGCACGGTTTCCAGCTGTGATCATCGAGATTGGCCGAATCCTGCGGAAAGCAAGCATGAAGCATAATCTCACCCGTGCTATCTCCTCGTGTCGGAGAGAGGTACGAGTCGCTCGCTATTATTAATTCGATATTTAGGCAACTACTATGCCTTCAAATTCCACGCTGCCGTCGCCGCCCTCCTAATAGCTAGCCAAAGCTAAAGATCCCACATGTGGAAGCGACGTCTACAGGCACAACAGCAATAAATATAACCTATTATAAGCGATAAGTTCTTCCACTCAACCAATCAAACCAACCAAGCCTGCTTGGCCAAGTGGTATGGCGTTCCACTCGTATTTACGAGTATATGGGGAGATCCTCGGTTCAATCCCGAGAGTGGGCACTTCTCTCTTGTTTTATTTTGTCATACTTGCTTGCTCTTTAAAATTCTTTGCTTCTAATGACATGAAGGAGCTCGATTGTAAACGAGAAACCTAGGGAATTTTTTTGGGTGTTGTGGATCTCGATTTTGCCAGTTTCCAGACAAAGCAGGTGTTGTTTGTTTGATTTGAGTAAAATCAGGATTCTCAAACCACAAGTCTGAGATAAGGAGGCTGGGGTGGGTGAGTGAGGTCTATTCTTGGGGAGTGAGGATGAGGGAAGACATGTTTTGAAATTAAATTGATATGAAAAGAGGTGTGAGAGATGGAGATGTGACGAATTTGTATTTGAAATATCTGAATTGTTGAGGGAAATCGTGGCTATAGAATATGGCTTCTTTAAGACAGAGAGCTTCAAGACCCATAAAAAGCTTGACCATTTTCCACATCTGAATAGCACATCTAAAGAACTCCCAAACGCCTTTCATCTCCCACTAAACCCGGAAACCCCCTTCTTATCCCACCCACCGTCTAGCACTCTTAAACATTCTAACCCAAGGACCAAACTCTCCCCACTCCTCTACCTTCCCAGCTGGAATGTAACTGCCCACATCAACCATGATCGTCCTCTCTGGGTGGGGCATCAACGCCAATACCCTCCCGTCCGCATTTCTAACAGCAGCAATCCCCTCAGGACTGCCATTGGGATTATACGGGTACCTTGCCGTCACATGGCCACGGTTGTCCGTATATCTAATAGGGAGGAGACCGCCGGTGTTCATAGCTTCGAGGTCACAAGGATTGTCGAATTGCGCGCGGCCTTCACCGTGCGAGACGACAATGGGGAGAGAAGATCCATGCATGCCGTGAAGGAATACGGAGGGTTGTCTGGTGTTGTCTTGGATCTTTACCATACTTACACGAGCTTCGAACTGCTGACTAGTGTTCGTTTCGAAGGTAGGCCAGTGGGAAGCACCAGGGATCAGCGACTTGAGACGGGTAAGCATTTGACAGCCGTTGCAGACACCGAGAGTAAAGGTGTCAGGTCGCGTAAAGAATTTCTCGAATTCTGATTTGGCGTGCGGGTGTTGAATGATTGATTGAGCCCAACCTTGACCAGCACCGAGGACATCACCGTAGGAGAATCCACCGCATGCAGCTACGCCGACATAGTCCGTGAGGGTACCGCCACTGATGATGTCCGTCATGTGGACGTCTATCGGGTCAAAACCTGCAGCTTTGAAGGCGAACGCCATCTCAGCATGACCATTGACACCCTGTTCCCGGAGGATAGCAACACGAGGTGTCTTAGCGAAGGCTGAGGTGATACTCGCGGTGAAGGGAAGGATATTCTCCTTTGGTTCGAAAGTGAGTTTGTAATGTAGACCAGGATCTAAGTTATCGCTGACGGTATCGAATTCGGAATCTGCACATTCTGGATCATCTCGAATACGCTGCATTTGGTGAGACGTGGATGCCCAGTATTGTTGAAGTTCGGCGCGGCCCATGTGAAGTATTGGTTGTTGTCCGTATCGTATAGCTAATTCTTGTTTCGATGCAGATGGAACTCGACCAATCTTTCGTACCAGGCCAGGAGGAGGACCACAAGTGGCGAAGCATCTCAAAAAGTTGATCTCATCGGACTTTCGGACCTGGAAAATTGCCCCCAACTCCTCGTTAAAGAGTGATTCAAGGATATGTTGAACAGAAGAACTCTTGGTGAAACCATCAATCATAAGTTCAGCGCCGCATCTCCCAGCGAACATCATCTCGGTGATTGTAGTGAGTAGACCTCCATCTGAGATGTCATGATATGCGAGGACAACACCAGACTCATGCAGCTGAGCAACGGCATCAAAGTAGTCTTTGATGAGATCAGTGTCTCGAACGTCGGGAGCTTCATGGCCCAATTGGCCAAATGCTTGGGCCAATGCCGACCCACCTAATGCCTTGTGGCCCTGTGCTAGGTCAACATACATGAGGATGCTTTCACCAACATCTTCGGTTCGACGAAGAGCTGGAGTCCACGTACTCCTAACGTTAGCGACTGGTGCAAATGCGGATATAACTACTGTCATTGGTGCAGTGACAGCCTTAGTCTCACCGCTCTTGTCTTTCCAAGAGGCCTTCATCGATGTTGAATCTTTCCCGACGGGAATGCTAATGCCTAGCTCTGGACACAGCTCCATACCAATTGCGTGTACGGCTTCATAGAGCGCGGCACCCTCACCTGAGTGATTCACAGATGCCATCCAATTTGCAGACAACTTCACTCTCTGTAAATCGCCAGGCAGAGCGCCGAGGATATGTGTAGCAGCCAAATTCATCAAACTTTCTCCAACTGCCATTCTTGCGGATGCTGATGGTGAAATGAGTGCCAGTGGGGGCTTCTCACCCATGCTCATTGCCTCCCCAGTTTTGATCTTGTCTCCCATGTTCAGTGATGTTGCAGTAACGGCAACATCTGCAACTGGTGTCTGCCATGGGCCAACCATCTGATCCCGGACCGTCATACCCCCAACAGTTCTATCGCCAATAGTGATTAAGAAAGACTTCGAGCCAACCGCTGGTACGGTGAGAACCCGCTCGATAGCCTTTCGAAGCAGGTCGTGCTGAGGAATTTGAGGATATGCTTCCTCTAGAGCCTTTTGAGCTTCAAAGGGCTTGAGGTTGAGTTTCCTGGATTTGACGATTCGCTCAAGGTTTCTGCCTTTCGGGAACAACGTTGACATCGGTAGATCGATCGGTCGAGGAAAATCCGTAGAGTTCCTATCGGTGACTAGTAATTTTGTGTGGCCTTCTGAATCCTTTGGAATAACTTTTCCCACAATCGAGTAACCAGATCTTTCTCGATCTACAGTATATATTAGCGGGCAACGAATATTATATGCATAAAATATGAGGTCTCTTGTTCCTTTGAGTACAATTATGAGAACGAAAACGATACTTACTTGCAATGCTCACAAACCGATTGAGCGAATCGGCGTTCACGATCATGACATATCTCTCCTGTGCTTCACAACACCAGATCTGCAGTGGGCTCATACTAGGATCCGCGTTCTCGACTTGCCGAAGCTCGAACTCTCCGCCAAAGCCAGCATCCTTGACCAGTTCAGGCAAAGCGTTTGACAGCCCTCCAGCTCCTACATCATGAATGAAAGCAATAGGATTGTTGTCCCCCAAAGCCACACAGTGGTTGATGACCATTTGAGCACGACGTTCCATTTCTGGATTACCACGCTGGACACTTGCGTAATCCAACTCAACAGAACTCTGCCCAGCATCTGCGCTGGATGCCGCACCGCCACCGAGTCCAATGAGCATTGCTGGTCCACCAAGAACGATAACATGAGCTCCCTCTTTGACGTCTAGACCGTTCTTGAGTGCATGCTGAGGTCTGACGGTTCCAACACCACCGGCGATCATGATGGGCTTATGATATCCCCTAATCTCGACGCCATCCGCTCCGGCATCTACATTAATTGAGAGAGTACGCCAATATCCCGCCAGGCATGGTCGCCCAAACTCGTTGTTGAACTTCGCACTTCCGATTGGTGCTTCTTGCATGATTTCGAGAGCACTGGAGAAATGGCCAGGCTTGCCGACATCAAGCTCCCATGGCATCTTGTGTCCAGGTATCAACACATCCGATACTGAAAAGCCACAAAGACCCATCTTTGGTGTGGAGCCTCTGCCTACAGCGCCTTCGTCTCTGATCTCGCCCCCAGAGCCGGTCGCTGCCCCTGGAAATGGAGAGATGGCTGTAGGGTGATTGTGCGTTTCCACCTTGATCAGAAAGTGCACTCGCTCCTTTGTCTGTCTCCAGCTTCCAGTGGAATAATCGGGCGCCCAGAAGCTTGCAATCTCTCCTTGCAAGACCGCAGCATTGTCGCTGTATGCGGACACAGTGAATTTGGGGTTTTCCGAGTGGGTGTTTCTAATCATCTCGAAAAGACTTTTTCCCATACCAACACCGTCGATGGTCCAATTGGCGTTGAATTGTTTATGTCTGCAGTGCTCTGAGTTGACTTGAGCAAACATGAACAATTCAATGTCGTACGGACTCCTTCCTATCTGAGAATAGGCATCGACCAGATACTCAATCTCGAGTTGATCCAAAGCAAGGCCGCATTTTTTGCTGTAAGAAGTCAATGTTTGTATGGGGCTGGTTCCCAAATCGATGATCACCAAGGGAAGTGGTGCTCCATGGGCAAACATTTGTTCCAAGTCCGGCTGAGTCGTGCTGAAGGTTTCTGTCATTCGATCGCACAAGAGATATTTGAATAAATCGGCATCGCTTTCTTCAACTGGCCTGCTGAAGTTGACCAGCACCTTTCGACCCCGTTCGATGCGAACGACATCCTTGAGCCCACAGACACTTGCGATCATTGTTGCTTTGGAAGACCATGGCGATATGTTTCGAGGGAAGATATGAAAAGTGCTTGGACATTGCCCGGGCTCTCCTGACAAGACATTTGGTTTCTGGACTCCTGGTAATATCTGATGAAGAACACCTTGGCCTTTTTCTGAACTCTTCAAGTGCGTGTAGTACTCCCAGCAGCCGGAGATACTGCTCACTTTCAATCCATCGGGAAGCGACCCTGCATCGTTGACAAAGTGGGTCAACTTCTTAGTCTCAGACACGGTGAAGCAAGAGTCCCCTTGAAGGACAAGATGGGCCATGATGGCAAGTCGCGTGGTATGGATCCCAAGGTAGATAGATGAGTCCCAGAAGAATTTCAGATAAGCTGTCAGGAACGTTTTAAAAATTTAGCGAGGGTTCGGATCAATGTTTGTGCGGTGCCGTACTGGCCACAACTTGCCTTAGTTACTACATACGTCTACGCCTTCATTGATGAAATAAGGTGAAAAGTTAGAACGGAAGAAGTCACCTGATGGGATATTAAGGGCCTAGAAATATTAGGGGAGAACAGAAGTTGACTCTAGACAACCTTTAGATGTTCTAAATTTTGACATTGTAAGAGTGATGCTAGGTTACTCGAGTAATGGCGAGTTCCTTGAT